TGTCATCACTTAACTCCACCCCCGTCCCGTCCTCTGCCTCACCCCCCGGATAAACCCTACGCCCGTTCCCGCGCCTGTCTGTCTGTCTGTCTGTCTGTCCATCTGTCCTTCCATCCTCCGGACTCGGTCTCTTTCAATCTCGGAATGTGTGATTTGTTTTCCCGGAGTTTTTTTTACAAAACAAAACCACATCATATTTGTTGTGTTCCACATGTTACATGCTTTCTTTTGTTTCTTTCTTTTTCAGTATCTCTCTCATTTTCCCTGGTGGGAGGCCTTCCATCCTTCGCCGATTGATTTTTTTTTCCTGCTCTCTGTTAGCCAGCCCGGCGTTGGCACATACACGTCCCTCTCCCCCCCCCGCCGCTAGCGGAAAAGAGCTTCGGCGGTCGCTCATTCCCGTTGGGGTACGGTACGGCTAGGTGCCCCCCACCCCCCTGGCCAGCGTCCCAGGCCCTCGAATCGATATGTAATAGAGAAACATACATACATACATACACATAGAAGTCCGTTTGCTTACCGCATTTTTTATTTGGGTTTACAAGGGCTGCGGTTCCCAACCCCCGGCATCCTCGCCACGACTGCTACTACTACAGGTTATTTTGCTTCCAGCCCATATGAGCGGTCGGGAGCGGCACGAGCGCATGGCGGTTATGGAGGCCGCCATCAGTTCGTCCTTGTCGCATCCCAACATTGTTCAGGTGTGAATGTGCGCGTGCGTGTGTGTATGTGTATGTGTGGGTGGCTGGGGGGTGGGGGGTGGCGTGGGGGAGTTGGTGTGTGTGCGTGTGCGTGTGTGTGTATTTGTTTGTGAGGGAGGGGGGACCAGCTAGCATTTATCCTCTCCCCACATATATACTTACGTACATACGTACATACTTACATACATACATGCTTGCTTATTCGTGGGTTGCACTGCTCTCTGGAAGTTTAATCCTCGACCCTCTGCGGGCCCTCGTCGCAACACACACCCCATCCCCAGTCTTTCCTTTTCTGTCCATATTCCCACATCCATACATACAGACATACACCTACGGCGCGGAGCGTGTGGAGGGAGCTAAGGCTCGTTCTCTGGGCATGCGCCTGGCGGGGTGCGTGTGTGTGTATGTCTGTGTGTATGTCTGTGTGCGTGTGTATGTCCGTGTGCCGGATAAGGTGGGGGGACCTGGTGGTGCTTTGGAACCGCGACTGTATCGTATTTGTTTGTATGTACGTACGTACGTACGTATGTATGTATGTATGTATGTATGTATGTATGTATGTATGTATGTATGTATGTATGTATGTATGTATGTATACATGTATGTATGTATGTATGTATGTATGTATGTATGTATGTATGTATGTATGTATGTATGTATGTATGTATGACTTAGATTGTATGTATGTATGTATGTATCAGTGTTCGACACCCCGTACGGGGCCCGTAAGTTTTTGGCCTTTTTTCGGTATCCCCGTACGGGTCCGTAGGACTTTGCGGTGGCTCCCGTAAGGATTTTGGGGCGCGAAGCGCCCCGTACGGGGCCGCCCCCGGACCGGCCGAAGGCCGGTTACGGTGGCTCCCGTAAGGAATTTAAGGATTTATAAGATGCCTTACGGGGCCCTGTAGGGGAGAGGACGGACCATATAAAGGATAAGGCCCCACACTTGGCAGGCATAATTCATATTGCAATATTTAACTACACTTTTCATAATACTTTTATAGCTTCCAGTCTATAGCCACTCCTCGCCGATCTCATTTTCGGTCCGGACGCAGGTGGAAAGCCTGCAAGCCAACCTGTTCCCACAAAGAAAGTAGATGATAAGCCTTGCAAAGAAGGTAGGGTAGGGACTCGAAGCTGATTGACAAGAACCGCAGGCCTGAAAGTTGACCGAGAGATTTGTGTTATAGGCAACCCCAATGATGATCCTGAGGAGCTTGGCTCTACGGAGCCTTGCACTCAGGAGGCTGAGCAGCACTTCTGCTCTGCTAAGAATTCACACCGCCTGTTCGAGGTTAAGCCTGATGAGTTGCCGAACGTTTTAAAGGAGTTCAATGTCATGAAGGCACGTCTTGCTTACTACATTTCGCTTGGCAGGGTGACTTGGGAGGCAGCGTGGGTGAGTTTGCGTCCCGAAGCCCATCTCCTTCCGCGTATGATGCGTTTGGCTCAAGTCGCTACAATCCTGCCAACACATTTTAGCAAAATTAATTTGAATCCATACGGAGAGGATGATAACGAGGAGGTTGCGACGGACCCAGAGATTGAAGTGCTGGTACAAGCAACATACCCCGCTAGTGACGATGAGGCTTTTAGTGACAGTGACTACGAGACCGACGTAGAACGAGATACCGATGAGTCGTCCGTGGATGAGGATTTTGTTGATGAGGAGGAGGACGCGAAAGAGGAGCAGAAGGGATGGGCGGCCGCGGCGGCCAAGGCGCTTGGCTTTCGCTGAGTGTGCCGTGGCCCCGTGTGTAATGGTTCACGGGAAAATAACATAAATAACGATTTACAGGGCAAAAAAAATGCAAAGTGTCACTTTCCACAGCGTTTTAGCCAAGGACAGTGTCCCCGTAAAGGTTTTGCGGGGTTACGGGGCCCCCCGTAAGGTTTTCGGCCAGTACAGGAGCCTGGTACGGGGGCCCCTCCGTAAGGAAAATTTGGGAGGTACGGGGGATCCCGCAAGTTTCAGGAAAGTCAGTGTCGAACCCTGGTATGTATGTATGTATGTATGTATGTATGTATGTACAGATCTCGAGGGGCGAACAGCGCGCTGCCGGAGGCCTCCACCAATCCCCTGACGGCACATCATTCCGCCGCCGTTGCTGTTCCTGGTACGGCTGCTGGCGGAGCCGGGCCGGGCCGGAACGGCGACAACGGGGCCGGCGGCGGAGGTGGCGGCGGCGGCGGCGGCGGAGTCAACGGTGCGGAACGAGAAGATGACATAATCGGCTGGGAGGTGAGGTTCTATTGTCTCAAAAGATAGAGCAAGTTTTCTGTAGGCTTTTGGCCATGTACCGCCAGACTACATCATCGCACAATCTAGATGTCGTGGATGTCAGAACTTCTATTAAAGTTTGGGATTTGGGGAAAGGGAAATGCGAAAAGGATGTATGTGCTTATCTCCCACTTTGAAATGATCTGTCCCATCTCGCCTTTTTCACCACCATCTTCCCACCATCACCACCAACAACAACACATCATCACTATCACCATCATCCAGGCCAACTGATTTCCTTAAATTTCTTCAACATTATAACTGAAGCTTAGGGCTGTGGTTTCATTTCTTTTAATCTCGAATCTCGGACTTCCTGTTTCTGCCGTACTAATCATGTGTACGGCACAGATCCGTCTGGTTCAGGAGTACTGCGATCTGGGCAGTCTGAGGGACAAGCTCAAAACAGGGGCGTTTTTGAAGCTCGCGCCCTCCGCCGTCGTAGCCGATGGCGTGCTGACGCCGCCGTCTCCGCCGCCGTCACCATCACCGCCGCCGCCGCCAGCGGCGGCGGCGGCGACGGCGACGGCGGCAGCGACGCCGCCGCATAGGTGCGCATCGCCGCTGCTCTCTCCCGCTAGCATGATTGCCGAGGAAGATGAAGAGGCGGAGGAAGCGGAGTACGCCGACGGCGGCGGCGG